AGTGGAGTGGAGTGGAGTGGAGTGGAGTGGAGTGGGGTGGAGTGGAGTGGAGTGTTTTGTTGTGTAGTGTATTGCATGTAGTTGATTTGGAGCGAATTGAATATAGTAGCTAGGGTAACATAGAACATTTAAGTAAATGTCGAATTAAAGGAAAAAGGAGTTTCAATTCCATCCCTAATGATCCAATTTTTTCGTCAAGTTTATAGGATTAATGACCTAAAAAATAATTTTAATCTGATACAAATATCAATTTAATTTGCCTCTAATCTCATATATTAGAGCATCCAATCCATGGGACTTCTTCATCTCTTATAGAACTAATGCACGTCTTTTTCTTTCCCTTTGGGAAACCATTATCTTAAACCTACATTTTGTTGTTTCCAAGGGTGCCTGACGCCGATCCCCCGTCGCGAGCCAAAACTTTGTGACCAGAATATATAATTCGATTGATAAATTTCCCAGGTGAGGGTAAGTCATTATTCATCGAGTTGTGGCTTTACGGCTCTATATTTAGATGCTGATTGTTTTCATATTGATATATGATTGATGAACAAGTGGTTGGGATCAAGTATTGGTTTTATTAAGCTGTAGTTTGCATTGTGGCTTTTTTTATTGCCTCCGGCTCGACCTCTTTAGATGGCTGGTTGTGATGGGTCGTTGGAGCCGAGTTATTTTGGTGCACGGATTATTGTTTGGTTTTGATCAATTGCAGCTATACAATATACTCAATACTAAATGGAAGTGTTCAGTTTGAAGGAAGCTCGTAAGAAAAAAATATAAAGGATGAATCTAAGAGAGGTATTGCGTTAGAGGGGAAGGGGAAAAAAGATGAAAAAGGGAGAGAAAGAATAAAATTAATGAAAAAAAGAGAAATTAAAAGGAAAAATGCGAAAAAACAAAATTGAAGGAATTCGAAACTTGAATAAATCGGTGGATGCACGGATAGGTGGATAGATGGGTTAATGGATAAAGGAGTGGGTGGATGGATGGGTGGATGGGTGAATTGATAGATGGGTGGGTGGATGGATTGATGAGTGAATTGATGGATAGGTGACAGATGGCAGGGGTCGATTGGTTGGATGGAGGATGGATAGATGGATAGAAGGATGGATAGGTGGAGGGGTTTGGATCCTAAGTCTACAATCGAATAGTTCTAGTACTCGAGTTTTAAATATTCTAAGCGACAATGACAGAGGCCTGAGATAATCCGAAGTCTTCAGAGAGCGTTGCCACATCTTACATGAGTAGAAAAGAAAGCCTTCAGTGCATGTGAATGGCCATGATTATAAAAGTATTCATTTGAACTTTGGTTAAAAACATTGAGGAAAACTGTGCAAGGATTTTGTGAATTTACAGTGATTGAATAGCTCAAAATAGCTCTTAGTGGCCAAATCTTAGCTACCGAAATTTTCAGGCGCAAATCGATGAGTAACTCGAAACCTATTTCCTCGAATCTTGTTATATGTTAATCAAAGTATCCCGCTAGCACAAAAAAAGAAAATTAGCCGACCTATTATCTCTTCAAAGTCATATCCTGTGGTGTTCTTCATAAACCTTCGTATTTTGCATTGTTAATCGCATGGGGGAGTATGTCAAAAGACTACTACACCTTATTGAGCACTTACGAGTCCTTCCTTTAAACTTCTAGAAAAATACGCTTGAAATTATTATTGGATGAAGGCAATTAATTGGTAATTGCGCGAACATTCGCTCGATGGATGGACGCGGAAAAAGACGAGAAATATAATTAATGGCAGAACGATATAGGATGACTCGAGTAAAATATCTCAGTGGTGATATATACTTTTATACCAAAGGGATGATTTAAAAAGTAGCATAATAGCCAAGATGGGAAAGGTGCTGAATAAGAGACACCAGTTGTTATATGCATATAAAACTTGAATAAGAGTGGACGCCCTATAATTTGCAGCAATACATATCGATGCGTGATGAAAAAAAAAAAAAAAAAAAAAAAAAAAAAAAAAAAAAAAAAAAA